GTTGCATGGTTTTTTTTGGTCTGTAGTAGCTGATAGACCTGTTTATGGCCCGAGCCTAAAGCCTGACTTGGATAGGTATTTTATAATATATTAATTATATATATTATATATTTATGCATTTAATATATGTAATATTTTTTTGCTATTAAATTTATTATTATATAATATATATTTAATATTATCGGGCTCAGGCTAAGCTTATTTGGGAAAGCCCGAACTCAGCACAAAAAATAGTCAGGCCTATTTTCAGAGTATGAGCCTGAACCCGTGGGCTTAAAATTTTGTCCAAGCCCGACGGGTCAGACCCCCATGAACAGGTCTAGTAGCCGGTAACGAGATCCGGTTTTTTCTGGTTATTGCAGCGGCAATCTACCCGACATCCCCCTTACCCGGCCACTCTCATTTCCCTCTCTCCCTTTCACTTTCTCTCATTCGATCCCCCAGTTCTATCGATCTCTCTATTTTTCTCTCTCATCTTAACCTCCCAAGCACCTACAGTGTTCATCGTCGTCCCTAACCTGTGGTCTTCATTTAACCTATGAAGATACGACGCATTCATGCTTCAATCCACTTCAGCAGATGGGACTCCCAGCTGAATAGAGCTCTGTCTCCATGCTTTGATCCACTTTGGCAGATGAGGACTCTTAGCATCGACTGCGAGGGTGAGCGGCAGGAGCTCTGTTCGATCCACTTCTTAGGAGCATTGCCTTCGTTAGGCACTACTTCCTTGAATATGGTCTTCAGGTGTCTTGGGCTCACATTCTCCCCAACCAAAGTCAGAGAAATCAGAAAAGTTACTTCCTTGGTCTGAATTAAAGCACATGGTGGTACAACCATCGGAAGGGAAAACGATTTGAAACCGATTTGGTCCTCCACAATGGCGTGGTTCTGAGGTTTTGGCAAACATCCATAAACCAAAATTCGGGCTAGTGAAAAATACCTTTTTTATAAATCGTGGTTCTGAGGCTATGCACAAAATATTCACCATTATATTACACAAAAACTCTCTGTAAATGCCTGAACTCTTCAGGATTAGTCTTAATTAAAGTTCTAGTTTCCGTGTGCTCCACTTCTTTCTCCATCGAGTGCGAGATGGGTTTGGGCGAGCCGAACCTTGCCGGGAAACCTAACCGAGAGAGAGAGAAAGAGAACTCTATTGAGTATGAGATACTTCCTTGCCGCTGTTCGTGCTTTGGGAGGTTGAGGACGATGAATAGTGTTCGTGCTTCGGTGGCTTGAGTTCCTTGCGGTTGTTGGTCGATTATCAGCGAGGATCGGTTCTTGGTGGAGGGTAAATTTAATATTCTATTTTATATTGAAAATATGAGAAATAATGAAGGGTAAATTTGACTTTTTGCTTTTTTCATCAATGTTTAACGATGATGACAATTATCAGAAAATCTGGAGGTGGGGGTGGATTCAAGCCGAGTCAAATTGTACGGAGGCTTGAGCTTGGCTCGCCAAGGTAGTACAACTGTACAAGGCCCGAGCTCAAGCTCAATTCGAGCAAGAACTTTGAGCTCAAGCTCAGCTCGAGTCAAAACTCGTAAGCTCAAATTCGACTTGAGAAAAAATGTTTTATAAATATATATATAATATTTTTTATTTGATATTTAAAAAATTAATAATTATAATAATTAGTTATTATTATATATAAAAATATTATATATAATATTTTTATTATATATTATTTTCTATAATTTATTATTATTATTATTATT